GAGAGAACGATGTTTTCTGGGATGCATTTTTTTAAATTACTTTTTATCGGGGTTCTAAACGTAGCCTTGAAAAGTAACACGTTACTTCTTATCTGGGTTCTAAACGTAGCCTTGAAAAGTAACACGTGTGTGTGTGTGTGTGTGTCCAGTTTTGTTGTGCTGATGGCATTCACTGCAAGTGCATTTTGAAAACAGACAAAGGAGGAGGGCATGATTCTGTTGATTAGGCCTCCTCCCTGGTGAGTTATGCCAGACTAATGTCGGTTTTAAAAACCCAGGAATAGCCATTAAAAAATAAAAACATGTCTACTTGCTTTTAAGTAAGGGGATCTGGGCCAGTTTCTGTGCAAGAGGAAGAAAAAGAACCTTTTTATTCTTGTCGCCATAAAGGCTGGCATTTCATTCATTCATTCATTCATTCATCCAGCATGTGTAAGTATAATGGCCAAGCCCTGTGCTGTTGACTATGACGAACAAGGTCCTTCCTTGCCAGTGAGGTTTTCCAGTCTCCATTATTCTCTGGCTACCTAGCGTAGAAGGCCTTTTCTTTGTTCACAAACTCAGCCAACGGCCATTTCCAGGATCCATCCTCGGAGCTGAACGTGGCTAGAGATCATCTAAACCAGACACTCATCACAGGATGAGGGGTGGGGGGGCATCCGCATCACCTGGGAAGAATTTTAAACCACAGGTTCCAGCCCACCCCAGGCAGAGGGTCATCGGGGTCCGGGGAGGCCTTGTTTTCCATTTTAAGGTCCCTTTGTGACTTTGCACGACATCCCTGCTTGAGAAGCACTTTGGGGGCTCATCCCCTTTTTTCTGGAAGAAAAGTATCTGGAGAAACCAAGGCTGCACAGGCCTGGGACTTCAACCCAAGTGTCTGGCTTCTGTTGCAGGGCTGTTCGTGCTGGGCTCGCTGCCCCCGGGTTCTGAGTGCCAGGGCCTGGAGCACAGACTGGATGGGCCTGGGTGCCTGAGAAGACCAGCAAGAGCCCCTGCGACCTGCCCTGCTTTGGACTCACATCCACAGCTTGCCGGCTCCAGGCCAGAAGTCGGAACAGTGCCCAGCACAGCAGATGCTGTGACCTCGGTGCCCAGGTCACACAGCGGGTAGCAGAAAGCACAGGATTTCCATTAGACACCAGCTGACCAAGTCCTTGACCTTAGAAAAGCCACAGCTTCTCCAGGCGGGTTCTCTTCCAGGAAGCAGGTAATTGAAGGTGTGCTGTGAGGAGGTAATGTATGAATCTGCCCCTGCAGGCACCCTTCTGCCTGACTTGGGCCAGGGTGCTCTGAGATTAACAAATGCCGCCGGCCACTGAGCATCCGGATCCGATCACGGGGGTAGCATTTACTCCTCTCCACCTCCGGTTAAAGACTGCAGCCCCTGGCAGTTGTGCGGGTCAAGCATTCCCGGTGCAAGCTCAGTGGGCTCACTGTGCCAGGAACGTTGAAGTTTCCGAGAGTCTGTTAAGTGGTGACTGTCATTACATACTTCACAGAGAGCCTCAGTGAGATATTTCCAACGTCACGTGGCTAAGCAAGGTAGAACCCAGAGTCCACTTGCCTAATCACCTCATTTCAGCCTAAGGCACAGGCCTTGTCCTGCCTCCGGGCACCCGCAGGTGGGTCCGGCATCTAAAAGGCAGCACAGGATGTTGGTATTCTTGCCGCTCCTGCACGCTCCCCTGCACCTGTCCGGTCAGGTCTTGTTCTCAGCCTGGGCTGCCCCTCAGAACCAGAACCACACCTGGGGCCCAGGCAGCGTGAGTTTGGAGCCTCCCAGGTCATTTGACACGCAGTAGGGTGACCGACCATCCCAGGGATCTCTTTAAAAAATAAGTTTAACCTCCTGGACCCATTAAGAAAGGTGGGTACCCTGATGCAGGCAAGGTTAAGAATCACTGATTTGAGGGGAGGTATTTCTACTGTGTTTGATTATACTTTTTATTAAACTCTTAATCCATTTCAATTATGAAATTTGATCTTTCCTGAAGGCAAGAAAAAAAATATATATATATATATGGAAATACAAAAATGTATTACCTTAGAGACCTGAAGTCACTAGCTGTTTAATAACAGAATTTTGTAATATTCCTTGCAAAGACTGCGTTGATTTTTATTTTGCATTTTTTAATGCCAACAAGAGCATACTTGCTTCTTAACATTTCTTTCCACATATAGATCTCTACGTTTTAGACTTGAAGAACTCTAGCATTAGTCATAGCCTTTTTTCTGAAAGGTTTCCTCTTAAACTGTTTTTCTTTTTAAACTATAAAAGAACTCTGTTTCCTGAAGTAGTCTCAACTGATGTGCTTCACCTCCAGCTATGGAACTGTCTCCAAGACCCTTCTCTCTTCAGGCCCCTTTGTTAAGGGGAGTTTCTGCTTCTCTGCAGATCACTGGACTCTTCTGTGTCCCAAGGAGTCTTACAAAAATGTTGATTTATTTTTTGACAAAACATGTACTGACTGCCACATATAAGGTTACCTGCTGTTTGCATATATACCTTTTCCTCACATCAGCCATGTAAATTAGGCATTATTTATGCCCATCTTACAAATGAGAAAATTCAGGCTCAGAGAGGCTAAGTCTGGCATCAGTCACCCAGATATTGAGTCAGAAGCCTAGGTTTTGGACCTTGTTCTTGACATCCAAGGTCCTTGCTGTCCCTGCTGTTAGTTACACTCTCACCTGGATGGTGGGAGCATCTGAGCGGGCTCTCTTGTCCGGCCTCCAGCCTCTTGCCCGGTTCTGAGCCCCAGGTACCCTGATGCAGGCAAGGTTTAGACCTTCAACGCCAAGCGAACCGCATGGTTTCAGATGGAAAGCTAGGGTCCCCAGGGGGTGCATGTGTCAGCAGCATTTGGAAATATTTTTTGTCATCAGAATGGCCACCAATTTGTAGTTCAGTCATTTCTAAGTGTAAGGAAGTTTGGCAAAATGTCTTGATAACCCAATTGCTATATTTCCTTCTTTAGATCCATTTACCATTCAATTCAATTCTGATTCTTTGTAATGGTCTGAAAAAGGCTTTACTGAGTGAGGCCAGTTTCTTCCTGAATGCCATCCTACTGGGGAAATACTACGTTTACACACCTGATGTTGGATCCCTAATGTTGGACTCGCTCCATGCCCCTCCCCTTCCCCAATCAGGTATTACCTGTCTACATGCTTCTGGATACTGTGGGGTAGGACAGTGGTCGCCAACCGGTAGTCCATGAGGTCCGAAAGGCTGACAACCGCTGGGGTAGGATGTTTTAAAGACAGACCAGCCTTTGCAAAGGCTCAGGACACAAGAGGAACAGGTGCAGTTTTTGAGCACCTCTGCCACCAGGCTGAGTGCTTTCCCTCATTATCTAGTTTGTTTCTCTTAATTACCCTTTAAGTTTAATGCCCTCAAAGCCTGTTTCCTTGCCTGGCGGTGCATAGAGAGAAGTCACTTGCCTAAGGACCCAGCAAAGAGACAGATTCGGGGTTGGGCCTGCAGACCTTCAACGCCATTCCCATTGCTTTTCATGGGCACACAGCTGCTGCCCCGCCCCTGGGACAGGGAGGCAGGAGCCACAGTGAAAGGCTTTCTGGACAGAGTTTCCCAAATTTGCTTCTCCATCCAAAAAGGATGCAGTAGGCCAACTAATACTGATTCTGATGGGCATCTCTCACGGGCAGAAATCTCTATGATGATACAATTGATGCACTTGGTCAGCGACTTTTCTTACTTTTCATGTGAACATCTCGCACAGAAACCCATTCATTTGCTACAGGACTTTGCACAGTTCACTGGGCTTGAAGACGACAACGCAGTTTGGTAACTGACTTTTATATAAGCCTGTTGTAGCTAGAGCGCCTTCTCTGCAGTAAATCTAAGCACCTGTCCACCTCTTTGCAGGCCAGGCTGGAGGGATGGTTTTGCCCCAGAGGTAAATTCTCCTTCAGGCTGTACAACCAAGCAAATGTCATTAAAATTATAAAGTGAGATTCAATATATATTCTGGAGGGAACAATTGCCAGGCAGCTAAGAAGCCTGTTAGCCCCTTTGACTAGTTTTGTGGTAGGCATAAATTCATAAAAACTGGAAAACATTTTAAGCAATGTCTGATGCGTGAGTAACTTATCTAAGCACTTGCAGTCGCATGATCACAGTTCCTTCTCACGCGGTCCTGCGGTGGAGGTACTGTCACTCTGTCTGACAGGGAAGCGACAGTTCGCCCAGGTCACCTTGGAAGTAACCGGGCTGGGAGTCAAAGCCTGTGCTCTGATTCCAGAACCTGTAGCTTCAAGAACTGTCTCACTAGTATTCCTCTAATTCTGTTGAACATTCGATGTTTCCAGTATTGAGGAGTCAAATGCTTCCTTTTTAATAAGAGGTTTTATGTACAGTGCTTTATGGTTTTTACAGCCCCCAGTGTCACTGAAGCGGTTCTTACAAAGTCAGTGTTATTTTTTCTTGTGTCCCCACAACAAATCTCTAAGAAACCAGGACAAGGACGCTCACAGTCAAAAGGAAGACCCACCAGCAGCAAGCACTGCACGTGGGCCTTTCCAGGAAATGGGACAGTGGGGGCAGTGCATTGGTGGCACTGAGTGTGGCGGGGTCTGGCTGACACACAGCTGATGCTCCGTTAAAACGCTGGCTCTGTGTTCAGAAACAGGCAACTTGTAGTAATGTAAAGGCCATCTTATTGTGTCAAAAGTCAATAACACGGCCCTGGCCGGTTTGGCTCAGTAGATAGAGTATTGGCCCCCGGACTGAAGGGTCCCAGGTTCTATTCCAGTCAAGGGCATGTACCTTGGTTGCAGGTTCCCTGGCCTTGGCCGGGGTGTGTGCAGGAGGCATCCAGTCAATGTAACTCTCTCACATCGATGTTTCTCTCTGTCTCTCCCTCTTCCTTCCACTCTCTCTAAAATCCAATGGAAAAATATCCTCAGGTGAGGATTAACAACAACAAAAAAGTTAATACTAAGTAGGTTCCATGTTTTGAGAGCCTCCCTAAATTCTCTAAAAGAGGTTTGTGGTGAGCTTGGAAGGCAGGGAACACCGACAGCGATGGTGCAGTCCTTTATTTTGTGCCTTCTCAGTGTCAGGCACACGCGCGCACACTCAGCCCTTCAGCTACTGGATTTAGTGTAATCCTCGGCTGGCTGGGCAGTGAGCTGCCAGGAGGACCCAGCCTAGTGTGCTTGCATGTGAACCCGATAGAGCAGGTTGGTGGAGGGGACGGGGAGGAGCCCATTGCTCAGGTGCGCCTGCTGCTGTCCACCAGGAAGTACCATGGTCAGAGCCGTCCTGGTTCTCCCACTTGGTCCATTCATCTCTGACTTGGGGCGTTACAGCTGAGGTCCTTTTCCCCCTTGACTAGCCACACAAGTTGCAAAGGCTCGGAGGATGTCTGCTTGTCTTAAGGAAGCCTGACATCTTTCTCACCTGGACTAAGGGATATGCCAGTAGAAACATTGCATGGTTTTGAGAGTGCTTTAGTCACAGCCTCATGCTTCGTATTAGCCCTTGTTCCTGTCGATTTTTCATTTAAAATCACTGCTGGGACAGTTTTGCATAGTCACCTCCAAGCGTTCCTCAGGCTCTATGGTGGTCTGGCTCATTCCCCGGGACCTTCCTCTGTCAGGACCTGCTCCACGCCTTGCTAATGTATGTGATCTCACCGGCCAGTATGTTGGGGTGGGCGGCCTTTAGTGTTAGGAGGCATGACACCCCCGCATTTTAAAAGGACCTGGAGAGAAAAGGGAAAAACTGCCTTCTGTGGCTTTTGAAGACTCTCGAAGGCTGGGAAACTGAAAAGGTGCAAACTGAATCCTGGTTTGGATGATGCTTCAAACAGAGGCAGCCCGTTACATGATTTCTTTGCAAATTTCTTAGAGTCAGCGTGTCAGGGGTTCAGCTGGAAGAGTTGGGGAGCAAGCTGTGCCAGCCAGGCCCGTTAGTTTCCTCTCTGCTGTTCTCCCCGCCCCTTCTCTCTCTGGAAATAGTAGGATCATGAGGCTAGTAGATGAGAGACGGGCAGATATTTGAACAGGGTTGGGAACTAAGGACTGGATGAGAGGAGATGTGCAGCATCACAGCCAGTCTATGAAGGGGGACTGAGTTGTTGGCAGCTCCAGAGTCAGGATATAGGAAAGGTACCAGGAGGCTGGTTTCAGTCTGGTTTAAGGGTCAGTGCTTGACAATGAGAACTGCACAAAGATGAAATTAGCTGCCTGGAGAGGAAAGGAGTTTCTCTCATGGCACCATCACAGCATCAAGCGCATGGTCAGCTGGTGAAGATGTTTTAAAGCTTGGTATCAAGCGCTGATGTCCTTATGACGCTTTTCTAAACTGCTTGTATGGGGCAGATTCTAGGCTAGATCTGAACGTGCTGGAGTTATTTCTCTTGACCCTGCAGAGCTTTCCAGACCTTGTACGGCTCCTGGCCTGTCAGTGCCCCAGGAGGAGACTGCCAACCCTCCACAGCGCTGCCCATCACAGAGTAGGCACTGCGTGCCCTGAGTGCCGCCCATACTGAGAGAGGCGCCCCACACAGAGGCCTCCCCACACTGAGAGGCCCCCCACACTGAGAGGGGTGCCTGACAGGCCCCCCCACACTGAGAGAGGCACCAGACTTCAGCTGTGCTCCCATGGAGACCTGTCCTTAATTCCAGTTGCAGATGAAAACATTGAAGCCCAAAGGTTTAAGTGTTTTTTGTTTTGTTTTTTAAAGAAAGGCTTTTAACCAACCCCAAAACAGACTGGTTTTTGCTTAGTCCTAATTATGAATTCGGGGGGGGTGAGAGGGGAGTGTATTTAAACATTATCAACTGTTTTTATATAAAAGTGGTCACTGTGTTACATGTACCATGGCACTTGCTGTAGAAATGTCTGCCTGCACGGCCGCAGCCTGATCCCCCTCCATGTCCCAGCTGGTCCCTCCACCCCCATCCCTTCACCCTCAGCAGCTGGAGGCTGAAGCTGAAATTGCTTTACAGACCATGTCCCATCCCCACTCTGGTCTCTTCCTGGTTCTTTCCCACGCGAAGGAGAGGCCACATCCTAGGAGGCTGTGCTGTAGACCCTGCCTTGGCTAGTGTCCCACTCCCCTGCTCGTCTACAGTTTTTCCTTTGCTTCCCCTCCTGGCTCGTTCCTCTCCTTGCTCAGCCCCTTCCTGTCCCTCCTGTGCTCCAGGCCCGCTTCCCACAGATGGTTGCTTCTCTGCTTGAGATGCCTTCTCCCAAACAGCAATATGTGACTCCCTGGCCGCCCTGGGGTCTGTGCTCAGAAGTCAGCTTATTGGGGGGCTTTGCTAACGCTCTTCACCTCCACCCCAGCCCTAAACTTCATCACAGTCACTCCCTATCCCTCTGCCTGCCTTTATGGCATTTTGTTCCCAATGACTGTCTGACAAGTAAATACACAACCTGTTCCCCCACCGCCCCTCAGGAGGAAGGGACTCATTTGCTTTTGCTCACTGCCCTGCAGCACTTAGGATAGTGCCTGGCATGGTCACGACAGAGGCTCAGGAAGATGTGGAGGAACAAATATCTGTCTACCTAATACTGTCAGTGTTGACTTAGCACTTGTGAAAGCAAATGGGGTGTGTGTGAGAGCCTTGGGTCCGTGCGGGTTGTTAGCTGTAATGCAGAAACCAACGTCCCGATCCAAAGCCCCGGGCACTGCTTGAAGACTCACATGTCTAAGAGCTGAGTGGCAGTGCACTGTGCCAGCTGCTAGTGAAGCCAATGAGATAATACCTGTGACATGGCGAGGATGCCCTCAGCGACATTGAGAAATGACTGTCACTGACTAAAGGCTCTTCTGAATGACTGCTGTGCTCTCCTCACTCCTTGTTTATATTCAGTTGGTCTAACGCAGTGGTTCTCAACCTTCCTAATGCCTCGACCCTTTAATACAGTTCCTCATGTTGTGGTGACCCCCAACCATAAAATTATTTTCGTTGCTACTTCATAACTGTAATTTTGCTACTGTTATGAATCATAATCTAAATATCTGATATGCTATATGTGTTTTCCGATGGTCACAACCCACAGGTTGAGAACCGCTGGAAGGGATGCGTGTTAGAGGCTGATTTGAAAATATTTTCAGTTTATTTTCCTTATTTGCCAGCTTGGTTGTATTATGTGTTACCATCAATGTGTCTAAGATGCTGTGTTGAGGTTGAGCATGAATTCCCAAGGTCATTGAGATATACGGTAAGTTTGGAAATAGCTCAGCTAACTCTTAAGTTCGTGTGTTCATCATGGTCTGTGATTTCTCTTTTCCCCTTTAGTGTTGCCTGGAATAGCAGAGAATTGGAAACAGTCATATCTGAGGACCATGCATCTATGTTGTGGTATTTAAAAAAGATAACTCAGTATGCTCCCCGGAAGGAACCACGTGTCTGCCAATCAGAGTTCGTTGAATGCTGCCTGCGAAGGATTCAGTCATGTGAAGTCTGCCTGGATCCCAGTGGACTGTGTTTGGAAATGCAGCTAAGAAGATGAAGGACATTGGACAGCAGTTATTCAGTTCACAAGTACTTGATGGACACAACTCTTTGACCATGTCGCCTAGACAACCTCATGCTAATAGAGCCACTCGGCCAGACAGACAAGAAGCTCAGACGGCTTTGTATCAAGGCTCAGAGGCCGAGGCCGCCATGATGACCACGGCCACGTGTGTGAAGTGCAAGACTGTTCACCAGATCCCTCTTCAGGATTTGAAAAAGGGGCCAGGGCAGAGCCACAAGGAAGACAGATACGTGTGTTTCCAGTGCAGCCTTGGAGTGGCTTCTCCCCACTTCCCTTTCGGGAACAGTGATCCCGGTGCTGCTCACGTAGGAAATAAAGCCGACACCATCGCAAGTTCTGGCAATAACAAATTTAAGGTAAGGAACTTTAAGCCAGGCAAATACTATTGTGATAAATGTCGCTTTTCCACGAAGGACCCTCTGCAGTACAGGAAGCACACGCTTCAGCACGAAGAGATCAAGTTCATTTGTTCTCACTGCAGCCACATTTCCTACACGAAGGGGGAGTTTCAGAGACACTTGGTGAAGCACACAGGCATCTTCCCTTACCGATGTGAGTACTGTGATTATGGTGCTATTAGGAACGATTATATTGTCAAGCACAGGAAGAGAGTTCACGAGAGAGCTGGCGGAAAACGACAGCCCAAAGCCGTGGCCAAGCCGGAGCCGAAAAGGACCAGCGCATCAAAACAAAACGCAGAGCTTTTCAAGACCTCCGATCCGGGCACCACGCTGCAAAGCAAGTTACCAGATCAGCTCTCGAGGTTTTCCCTCCAGACAAAAGACAGAGTGCGCAGCATCACACTGGTGCCCGAGGCGAAGGAGCACCAAAAAGACGTGGTGTGTATTCCAAACAAAGGGACCCTGTTGGAGCCAAATGAAGTCAGCGTGTTGGAGAACAAAAGCGTGGAGGTGGAAGTGTTATCCCCGGCCACAGAGCCCGTTCAGCCCGGAATGCCCTTGACTGTGGTGGCGCCAGCAGAGCTCGTGGTCCCTGCCAACTGTTTAGCGCAGTTGATAGATGTGAAGGTTGTCAACGGAACACAGCAGCTTGTTCTGAAACTGTTTCCTTTGGAAGAAAATAATTGCCTAGAAACTGGTGGGGGTGATGGAGGTCATTCTGAACATAGGATTAAAGAGAAGGGTTCAGATGAACAAGGAAAAATGCTCCCTGCAGAACAAACTAAGTCAGTGACAACTGAAGGGGGTGTTGGAGAACCTTTAGGCCCTGATTGCCTTCAGTCAGTTCAGAAACAAGTTAAAAATGTGAAATGGGTACAGTCTTACGATGTGTTCATGTCAAATTCTAGTGTGTACCCCTGTAGAGAATCCCTCCTCAAGTCGGCTAGAGTTGAGGATTTGCAGAAAAAAAGTCATATGTATCCACATAGAACTGCTCTTCCTCCCATTGCCTTAAAAGGTCACTCCCCATCATCTATAGTGAAAAACAGTGTTTTATGTGGCCTTGGCACTGCCCCAAATCCTTTTCCATATAAAGCTGCTGTTTCTTTTACTGAAGATGGAAGGCATTTGCACAGGGACCCCCAGAAGTTTCTTCCTCTGGCTGCATCACCTGCAGCCATTTCCTTCTCTGGAGAAAAGGGCTTTTTGCCTATAAGTAAAAATGACTTGGAATCTAGAAGTGAGATCAGTATTCCTATGAGAATGGTTGCATCTACTAGGAAGGTGAAAGACAACCAGACAGAGGAATATAAGGCAGTTTCAAATACAGGCCAGATTTCCTCTCATCGTAAAAGTGAATATTTACACATAAACATAACAGGAGAAGACAGAATCAGATCTCAGCAGCCTGGGGATAAACCTTTGGAGTTAAAGAATTCTGAAAGGACTAATAACTCTTTCAATGGCCCAGTCATTTCATCAGTATTTTCTCTGAGCTCCGGATCTGAAGACGTCCCTGAGGGCGTTAAGTGGAATAGCTCAACATCCAAAATAAAGTCAATTGAACTCCTGCGCAGAAAGATTGCTCAGTTAATTGAATCCTGTGGCAAGCCTTCATCTCTGGCTGCCAATAATGCACATCGTCGTTCCGTAGGGCAGGCATCAAAGGTAACTTCAAAATCCACCCCTGAAGGTATTCGAGAAATTAATGTGTCATTTACTGGCACTGGCTATGCCACGCACACTCTCTCAAAACCTCAGGATGACAGTGGTATTAGTAGACAGCTTACCCGTCAGCAGATATATCCACAGTTTGTAGAAGACAGCAATGGGAAAACCGAAAGCCAAGTAACCAGGAAGTCTCATGTTGCTACTCCAGTGTTGATCCCTAAAGGAGCCGTGTTGAGGGTTCTTAATTCCTCTGAGGATGCCCACATTATAGAGGCTACATGTGAAGCACCCGTCAGCATCCCTTACAGTGAGACACAGTTAATAAAACCCATTCCATTCTGCCCCATGAAACAGACAGATTCAGACTTACAGTCTTCAACAAGTGAAAGTGGGCCAATAGACATGTCTCAGAACCTCGACACATCTCTTCGGCCTAAACCAAGAAAAGAGAGTGCTGTTGGTAGCACCATCCCGAAAAAAACTGGCCCTCAGCAAGGAAGCAGTGAATTGAGTAAGCAAGGGAAAGTGCCCTACAGAAATCTTCCTATAAATAAAAATAAAACCAAGCAAGTAAATTCATCCAAGAAGAAAAGCAAAATTCAGGCTGACCCCAGCCTCTGTCTCAAGGATCCTTCAATTTTTCAGGTTGCAAGACAGCTTCGACTGATAGCAGTTAAACCGGACCAGTTGATTAAATGCCCCCGTCGGAACCAGCCCGTCATTGTGTTAAACCATCCTGATGTTGACTCACCGGAAGTGACCAATGTGATGAAGGTAATAAACAAGTACAAAGGCAATGTCCTCAAAGTCGTCTTATCGGAGAGGACCAGGTGTCAATTAGGCATCAGACGGCATCATGTGCGGCTGACCTACCAGAACGTGGAGGAAGCCAATCAAATAAAAAGGCAAATGATGTTGAAAATGAAACTTAAAAAAGTCCATAAAAACAACTACCAGGTGGTGGATTCCTTGCCTGATGATTCACAGTGTACATTTAAGTGCTGGTTTTGCGGACGGCTGTACGAAGACCAGGAAGAGTGGATGAGTCATGGTCAGCGGCATTTGATAGAAGCAACCAGGGATTGGGATGTTCTTTCTTCCAAGGGCAAATAAGTGAAAAATTGGTGTTTGAAGCAATTTTTTTTTTTTAGTTTATTCTGGTTAGGGTTGGGTTTGTTGTTTTCCCCCATCCCTGACTCAGTAGGAGAAATAGAGATTGTAGGAACGGAAGGACCGTTAATTGTTCAGATCCCTTGTAGGAATGTTGAGAACCAGGCATCTGGTGTCCCCTGATATGTGACTGGAACTTGGAAGGTATTTGAAACCCCTGAAAGAGTATGCACACATTTATGTACGTGCATTTTTTTGGAGAAGTGAAACTTTCAACAAATTTTCAGTGGGATCTGAGACCTTTCTGTTTAGCACCCCTGTTTCTGTGCGGATACAAACCTCTTGTCATCCAGTGAGAGGGTGAGTTTAGAGTGTCTTACACATGCTACTGATCAATTAAACCCATGGTCGGTGTGCTCATCCATTTTTTCTTTGCATTAACTTGTCTCCTGAATATTTGGTACATAATGGAAATTATATTTTCTACTGTTATCTTAAATTTGGTTACAGAAAAGTGGCCATTCTTTTCGATCCCTCACCCCTTCTATAATCCTCGGAAGTGTTCTTTACAGCACAGAGAACTGTGCTTCTTGGGACTGTCTGAAAGAATGATTGTAAAGTTTTGCCTGAATTTGCTACTTTCACAGCGTGTTAGGGGAGAAAGAAAACATTTTCAAGCTTTTGCATTCTTTCTTAAACATCCCAATTTATGACAATTGGTGAGGGAATGTGCCTTTTTGCAAAATAAAAAAGAAATGGTCACAAAGGGAAAATATCTCAAATTAAGTCTTTTATTTGTCCTTACCCCTCTCATAAACAAAGTAACCAGTTAAAAATGTGAATATGCAGGTCTCTTACACGTAGATGGAACCTGGGAAGATAATACAAGGTCAGATTGTGGAGGCAGCTGTGACTTTAAGGTGACTGAGTTTTTGTTTGGGGACTAACTCTCCATCCATCACTCAGGGCTCACAGACACTGCCCTCCACCCCAGGTCGCAGCCGACTCTCCTTTGCCACTTATTCCACAGGGGTGCCTGTTCAGACAACTCCCCACTCACCTCCTGTCCCTTTCCTTTTGTGCCCTGGAGGCCCCTTAAAGTCGTCCCTTGTGAAAATACTAAAAAAGGGCAGGAATCAATAAAACGCAAACATCCCACCATCTTTGTTAAGATTATAGGAACACTATCCCGGGTCTTTATTGACGGTAACAGTGTGCATCTAATTGACCTTTGCCACAGCCATGCTTTCCCCATTACTCGCTTTGCTAGGAAGCAACTCCCGAGAGCATTCCTGATCCCCTCTCCATCATCAGGTGTCAGGACGCTGCTGAGCTGTACAGCGCCTTCCTGTGCATTAGAAACAGCCCGCCCTCTGCCGCTGGGGCCTCTCGGGCAATACTCGGTTGGCAGCTGGAGCTTAGACTGCATCTTAGTCCTTCCTTGCCCACTCAGCTGGGCCCCAGCCATCCTGCAGAAGGCAAATGCCTCAGACACACGGCAGCCCGGCCCTTGAGTGCTCCTCGCTGTAGGCATTCAGGCCTGTGCTGGGGTAGGGAATGCCACTGGGGTTGTCACAGCTGAGGAAGACACGAGAGAGATTTCTGTCGCATTGGATAGTCAGAGATTGATATTTCTTTTTTTCCCCACAGGGGAAAGTCTTAGATTACCCTCTGATTGGGGGCGGGGGGGGGGGGGGGGTTTTTTTTTTTGGGGGGGGGGGGGGGGGGGTGTTGCATTTCTTTTGTGTCGTTTCTCATTACAGTAGTTAACATGTCTTATGTGTAGTTTGGGACATGATCACTGAGTTGATTAATTGGTTAATTTTTGTTGAAATTTGGATTTTTTATGTGTATACAAGTATATGTACACATACCAGTATTTTTTACCATATGAAAACTGTAATACCTAATTTTCTGATTTCCTATTTTATAATGAAATTAGGTGGTTTGGAAAATATAAAATGTTTTATATTCTAGAAATAACTTATTTTGAAAGTACCTTTTTATAATGATCTGATTTCACTTTGAGCAAATGAAAGCACAGTCGAGAGTGGGTCAGATTTGTATGAACAAACGGAGTGGCCACCCCGGCAATCATTTCATCACAGACCTCAGTCCCGCACATTTCCCGTTGGGGCGTTCTGAGCAGTGGAGCGCGAGACTGCTTCGCTGCATACAGGAGGCCATTGCACAGGTCTGCCCACGTGTAGGTCTGTGCCCCTCCAACATGAAAGAAGCCTCCGGAGGCATTCAGAGAAGAGAAGGCTGTGGTTTTCTTTTTCCTCCTATACCTCACTACATAGTTGCATCTTTCCTGAAAGCATAGACTGGCCTTTCAGGAGAGAAAACCATGAATCGGGTCAGTGTTAAGTGTCAACATGAAGTATTTACACTTTGCAGCGTCAACCCTTTTTGCAAGTATTACCTAAAGCAGCTTACGTCCTTGTACAGAGCTCACTTTCATGAGGGGGGGAGACGGGTCAGAATTACAGTACTTGTTAAGGAATTAAGAAGGCTCCGGGGAGTCGTAAAAAGTGAGGAAGCCAAGACTGGCTGTCTTCCTTATGTGAAGAGCGTTAGGAAATAGCTTGTTAGCGTGTAGGTAAGTGTCGTGAAATGCGCTGTAGCGTCATTTCTAACAAAATTGGAGAAGGTAGCAGAACTGTGTTGAGTATTTGTGTGCTCTTTCTTGCCATGATTTTGAAGGACCTCCTCTCACTAAACTTTACTAATAGTACTTACTAATGACATCATTTTACGCTTATTTTTAACAGATTTTCTTTTGGGGGGCAGAAATGAGTTGATCTTATATTTATGCTATGACAAAGAGTGAAAGTTGTTGTTTTTTAATGACTTAATAGATTATATTTTACTCAAATTGTTTTCCTCAGCCCCAAACAATTTTGTGAGCCCCTGTTATGGGCCAAGTGCTGTTGAATTAAATGGGACACAATGTGTTAACCCTCGAGAGCCCCTGCCTCCTGCTCTGGGACCTCCTGTAGAAGCTGTCCCAGGAAATGACGGTGTGATGCTGCCCTGCCTTTTGAAGACGGTGTGAACCTGTCAGTGTCAACTGAGAAAAAATAAAACCTTGCATAACCCGTTTCAAGCACCCCTAGAGGTCCTGTGTTAACAGTGTGTGCTGCTGCGCTTTGGAAACACATTTATATAGAGATTCAGGAGTTGTAATAATTTTGTTAAATAAAGCAACTGTCAACGTTTCTCTGCCCTTTCATTTCAAATGTTCAGTAGCGTGGCTCTTTCTTGCACAGCCTACCTGTGCGCGGTACGTTTCCTACCCACATACAGTCCAGTCAGTGTCACTGTACACAGCAGAGGGGCCTTGCTTCCCCTGGGGTCTGAATTCCATGCTCTGCTGGTTAACTATGCACCCTGAGAGGAGGCCAGGTGACACTTTTTTTATTAAATATATTTTTATTGATTTCAGAGAGGGAGAGATAGAAACATCAGTGAGAATCATTGATTGGCTGCCTCCTGCATGCCCCCTACTGGGGATCAAGCCTGCAACCCAGGCATGTGCCCTTAACCGAAATCGAACCCGGAACCCTTCAGTCGGCAGGCAGATGCCCTACCCACTGAGCCAAACCAGCCAGGGCCCAGGTACATTTTTGTTTTGCTTTGGCTGAAACCCGAAAGGTGCTGGTGTGGGCGGCAGTGTCAATCTTGGCACCATGGTCAGTGGCCTCGTGGGAGAACGTACGGGGCACTTAACCTGCAGAGCTCTCCACGGGGAGGGGTCCTGGGTGGGAGTGCTCAAGCCATTGAGAAGCCTCGGGACCACACTTACATGGGAGAAGGGGCGTGAGGCTATTTGGAGAGGGTTTCATTCCCTCCTCTCATTCCCAGCATCCAAGGAGGTCAAAAGGGAAAAAGAGACTTGAACTTGAGATGACCCTGAGGAGAACAAAGAGGAGATGGGAGTGGCTTCAGGGCAGCAGTTTGGCTGATTTGTTACCCCAATTCCAGTGGGTTGTTGTCCTCTAACCCTACAGAAGGAGGCTCCTAAGTTGTCCCCCTGTTTATTTAGGGGGCAGGAGAGATCAACAGTCAGTAAAGGTCTGAAGGGGGTTGTAAAAGCCTGGACCACCAGGACGGCTGCCATGGAACAGAAGAGGGGACTTGGGCAGAAACGGACTTCAAGACCGTAAACTTAGGAAGTGGGCAGTCACTCATCCACATTTCATCAGTAAGAAAACCGAAAGGTTAATGATGCCCATTCACAGGCTTAGGGGCAGGTGAGCACAGGAAGCAAAGGGGAACCCCTTCGTCTGTAATGCTCTTTGTTTTGCAACACGCAGAGCCTTCTGTGGCCTCAGGCTGTGCTCAGCGTAAATTGCCTTAAGGTTCCAGCTGGTATCAGACCACTGGGTGGGCTGAGACCCCCGTGATAAGGATTTTGGACTCAGTCTGGAGCAGTGCTGTCCACTGGAGATAGGATGTGAGCCGTGTCTGTCATTTTCACTTTTTCAGTAACTACACTTAAAAGCATAGAAAGAGATGAAAATATATTTGACCCAGGACATCTACAGTGTTATTTACACATTTTCGATCAGCATACAATGATTGAAATAGTTTTATGAATATGTGTATACATAAACTATTTTTCATAAAGCCTTTAGGAATCTGGTGAGTATTTTAAACTTACGGCTTGTTTTTATTTTGATGCTCAATTGTCACAATGAGACGTAGTCCTACCAGAACACCTACGTTGTGTTTAATTGAAAGATTTTAGACTGCCTGCTTCAGACTTTATTATCAATTAAATTACCACTCAGTTCTTCAGTCAGCCTCACCACAATCCAATACCAGTAGCTCCTACATTGAGCAGCACAGGACAACGGAAACACACTGTGTTGTAAATATTAGCTTACTGTCCAAGCGCCTTGATGGGAGGAATGGTGTAATTTATGTCTGTGTCTAAAACGGGGGTAGACTAAATTTCACTAACTCTAGTTTAGGAACACCAATTCTGCGTCCAATTCTGCATTCATTCCCTCCTCGCACTCCCACTCCCAGCAGTTCTAGTTCTAGGTCTGTCCCCTAGAGAGTGGTTACGCCTGTGGCTTGGAGATTTTCTTTTTTTTAGAAGTAAAGCTTGAATACTTTTTAAAAAATATATTTTATTGATTTTTACAGAGAGGAAGGGAGAGGGATAGAGAGTTAGAAACATCGATGAGAGAGAAACATCCATCAGCTGCCTCCTGCACACCCCCTACTGGGTATGTGCCCGCAACCCAGGTACAAACCTGGGACCCTTGACTCTGCAGGCCGACGCTCTATCCACTGAGCCAAACCGGTTAGGGCGACTTGGAGATTATTTTGCAACAACCTTAGTTGGTCAGCCAAACAAATGTTTATTTCTCATTCACACGGCATGTGCACAGTCTGGCAGGGATCTCATCTGATGGGGGGAGGGGCGTCTTGTAGCTGAGCCCCTGGGCATCCTCACCCCAGCAGAGAAAGAGCAAGAGGAGAGGTCGCTGCACAGGTGGAGAAGCACGCAGCACTCCACTGACAACCCAGAGTCCAGAAGAGGTCACAACCTCCCAAGGGGCTCCGCAGCCCGTCTGTGGGCAGAAGAAAGGGCACTGACGGTAGATCACAGGTGGTGCTGGGAGTGTCGATGGTAGTCACTGGCGTGGAAAGCAACTTGCCAGTCTGGTAGCTGGAAAATAAGACCGTTGGCTGAGAGCCGGTGAAGACACGGAGAAACAGGAACTTTGGCATACTATTTGGCAATAAATACTGAAACTGGATGAAGCACTGTATTATTTCCCTTTTCATTTCCTCGATTCCTAGTGGGATCGTGAACTTTTGCAAGTTGGACATTTTCATTTTCTGTGCATGGCTGCTGGTATTTTGTCCATTTACTGTTGAACTACTTATTTTAAACTTTTAAAAGAAAATGTAGACTTTAAAAATCCATAAGGAAAAAAATTTCCTTTAGGTTTTGGGGCTTTTTGTGCTTTATTTTAGAAATTCTTCCCTATGTTTAGGTCACAAAGATAGCCTTTTATATTAAATTTTGTATTAAAATGAGCTTCCATAGAATAGTGAGCACCATCATAAAATACAAGCTGTCAGTTAGAGGCATTTCAAAAGGATTTCTGGGTCC